CTATATTTGAACTAATCAAAACCAACTTATGGCAACTTGTTTTCAATCTATTCTGTATTCAAGCTCGAATCTAAATTTTCTGTCATCTCGATGTAGGTACATTTAAACGATTCTTTTTTTTTTCCTTTGTGTAAATATCCATTCCTTATGTACGCATGTCTCTTTCTTCGTTTTTCGTCTCTTTAAATTTTCTCATGTATTATCGTTTTATTTTCATAGAAACTTTCAGACATTGCCGTTTCATATCGTCATCTTTAAACCGTCCTTTCTCCTTCGCCATTTTAGCTTCCATCTCTCGTCATTACGACATCACTAGACGCACACGCGATCCGTCGCAATTCTCTCGCGTGCTTCGCTTGTTCTTTCTCATCTCTTTCTTTATCTTTGGACTTTCCTTCTGTCATAATTGTTATTTTGCGTGTTGCATTGTCCTTTTGCTTCGTATAACCTTTTCAAGACGATTTTCTTCATAGTTTAAGATTTAAAGGAAAGTATGTGTATTCGCTTCATGACTTTGCGTAATGTGTCCATTATTTGATTGCCATTGATTGCGATTGATTATACCCCGATTACCATTTACATTAATGTTTCTTTACTTGAGACATTTTATTTATTAAACAAAAGAAATGTGTCATTTTATTAAAGCATAAAAATTAAACTGCCAAGGAAATTCCTTTTTTTTTTATTTTGTTTACACGATAATTAATCATGTTGAGCGAAATCATGAGCATTAAATATCTCGAATTTTTATACAATGGCAAAGCCTGACCGATATTGTAATTTTTTGTCATCAACACTACGTGCAAATTTTGGCTAGAAACGATATTGTTAGTGTTTTCTTCTCCTTCAGAAAAGAAAAAAAGAAGCAATAGTTGTGCGCGATAATTTGTTTCTTTCTTTCATTTAAAATCGCGCAGATTAATGAGTTATTTCTACGCGTTTTTATTAGCAAAATATTAAAATGTAAGAGTTTTTTTTCTGTCAAATTTAAACATTTTTTGGATTGATCTCAAGAAACAGAAATTCTATTTTTGTAAGAATAACGGAAAGAAGGCTGACGACAGCACTCGTTTGCTCTGTGATTTTATCACTGATCGGGACTATGAAAGATCGATGTATGAAAGGAAAGAATGGCGATGGACTTTGGTCGGACTGGTCAAAATCTCAATTGACGTTTAACAATGCTCTTTCTGAAAGAGAATTTGACAAAGTGTGCCATTGTGCTCGAGTGTAGAAATGTGTGTGTACTAATACGCGTGTACTAATACGCGGTAAAAACTAACGTATTAGCTCGGTGGATATAAAGCTTTGAAATCTGTTATGTTATTACATACACTTAAATATTGTGCATATCATACGAAAGACTATGCATCCGCGCTAATCCGCGTTCCCTTTTTTTTATCTCTTTGACTCCTTGACTCATTCGCGATTGCGGAATCATTTTCGCGAATCGTTTTCTCGCGTGAATTTCACATTTGTCGTAAATTTTCTGGAACGACAGTATATATAAATAGACACGCTTGCCTCATCGCGCGAAAATAAATTGGGAATTGCTTACGAGTGAACGTAAGATAGATGATCTAGTTATGAGTTTTATGCCATCATATGTTGCAATGCGTCGTCGGATCTGTCCCGAAAGTTTGCGATCTTCGCTCATTCTCTCTCTCGTTTCTTACATGGAATTAATCATAAAATGTATTATAATCGTATACACATTTTTATTACTCCTTGATCAAATATCCGTCGACAGACTTACGTAACGATAAGCAATTATTCTTGAAGCAATCATGATTATTTATTGTATAATTTGGTCTCTATTCGGACTTTTATGCATGCGTAATTTAACGTTGCATTACAGAGTCAAATCGTCGGTACCCTCGGTCTAAAAACGGAGATCACGTAACAGCGATACTCCGACAGTCACACATTCTGATTGTAACATTTCTGGGTTTGAGCCGTGCGAGAATCCAGCTGACGGCGTTTATCAACTGTCTTCCTTGTCGTTGACGAAACGCGCAATTACCCCTCTGCCTCGACTAAAATTTTCATTTCACAATGTGCACTTTGGCGGCGCACTGCGTGTAACGAGGGTAAATGTCATCAGCTGTTTCGAATCTCTTGGAACATTCGCCGCGAAACTCTGATGTTTCAAAGAAATTCTCTCTCGTGGATGCCACCTCGAAGTTGTTCTCAGTCTGCGCAAAATACAATTCAGAGAGATGAAAGCAGTATCGTGACTCGCGAGAAGAGAGGCTTGTCTAATGTTCGTTCGACCGCGCGCGTCTTCGAAGGACGATCCCTCAGCTTCCGAGCGATATGTGGTCTCATCACGATTACGACATTGGTGATCTCATGCCGTCCGCCGCCGCCGCCGCCGCCGTCGCCGCCGTCGCCGGCACACCCGCCTGCGTCACGCGACGCACTCGCAGAAACGCACAATACAAATATCGATACTTGACTGCTTGTCGTTCATTACACCGCGTTTTAAGCAACAAACGTGGGTCTCCCGATTATCCTATTATGTTGGCATTAAACAACGATACGCGAATGAAAGCTGCGCTTTCGTAATTTCGCATTCGACGCGATTACGTTGCTGCGCACATGATGCATTTCGGATAATGCGTTTCGACTCTCCTATGAGATTGTAAACGCGAGAAAAAGAGGAAAGGGACAGGGTGAGCGGGATGAGAGGAGAGAGAAAGATAGAAGAGCCAAGAGCGATGGTCAGCTGATGTCACCCAGATGGTTTGGTGAGTTACGCTGCGCTAAAAGCGGCTATGATGCCCTCCTTTATTTCCCTCCCGCCTCTTTACTGTTCTTCTATCTACATCCATCTAACCGGCATCGCATATCTGTGTTTTCTTCTCGCGAGAATTCCTCATGCTTCTATCCGATCAAGAAGAACGTAACACGCCTCGTAGGTATACTGCGAATCGCGTGACGCATTCTCCCGCTCTCCTTCTGCGACTCACGAGAAATCTCGCGCCGCGAGAGATGACGCGGCGTGTCGAAAGACTGGATACGGCGTGCACCCTCGATCGTAAGAAAAATCTGGGCGATTTCTACTGGGAATGCGTGACTAGTGGTTATTAAAACGAAAATTCAAAGTTGTAATCCAAAATTGGATTGTTGTTTTAAAAAGCGAAAAACAAAACATGTTTGCACATATCAAACGAAATGTTCAAATTAATAATAAGTGGAATTACACAATTGTAGATATTCTTAAATGAACGCATAGAAAGAAATTGAAAATCGATAACGCACATTTTTATTATTTTATACAGTTGCGCTTGTGCGATACGCACAAGCTGTGAATTTGTCGCGAATTCAAAATTGACGGTTTTTTTGGAGAAAATTTGTATACAATCAGCTTTGGAAATTTATGCTGATTCTTATATTTCAAGTTTGCGACATTACTTCTTCTGTTTTTCCTCATTGATTGAAAACAGCGAATCTATTCAGAAGTTTGTAATTGGCTTCACCTCGAGATAATTGGTTGCTTTATTAGAGGAAACTCATATGATGTACAATTATAAACTGTTAAAAATTACTCTTGTATTTTTATGCAACCATTGATCGATTCATCTACGACCTCAGAAATTCTGATCTCCTAACCTGAGATGAAAATAATTTGGTCGTCTATTTGCTAATTGATTATTCGATTACATAATATAAAACATACATATGAATACATGAATAAAGTTACTTTACATAATTATTCATAGAATATGGGCATGATATTTAATTCTATTTAGAGCGTTGACAGACAACGAGAGAATATATCGGGTGTCGGAAATAAAAAAGATGACGTCAAGTTTAAATCTCAGATTTCTGATGCATCTGAACGAACTGAAAAAGCAAATAAAATAGGAGGGACCATTTTTACGCGATTAGATGACAGATTTTGGTTCCCCTAAATTGGGCAATGTCCACGCCTTTTTCTTTTCGACTGGTATTACAGTTACACCGTGTTCGGGTAGGATGTGAGAAGCGACGATTTATGCTTACTGTAAAGTGTAGAGTGTGATCGTGGAATCGATGTCGTTACATGGTGCGCGGATTATCGACGCGGGAAGACGATCAAGAAGACGAGGAAGAGGTCAGGCATGCGAGAAAGTGGGGCAGACGCGGAACGTTGACCTTTACGTGCGATGGATATGCGCGTCGTAAGAACATGACCGAATTACACGATCCGGGACCTCGCAATCCTTTGTCGCGATACCCGATAGAACGATAAACAGCGTCATCTTTACAGCCTTACAGAACTTGCAGAACTTCTTCATTGGCTGCGGGATCGAATTGGCTCTGTTTGTTTTTCATACTAATCTCGGCAGAATAGATGATGAAACGATGAGTTAAACAGAAATATTTTAATATCTGAATGTGAATTTCTAATCACTATCGTACACTATGTACGTTTGAACAGTTTCCAAATTAATCCAACAAGAGACGAACAGTGTAAATTTTGTCTTGTTAACTTTCTATTCGTAAGCTAAAAAAGCGCGCCACACCCAATCGGTTCGATTACAAGTCGTTTCACGGCGCCACGTTATTAGTGCTGCGTTTAACGCACAGATAAGTTACGTATATGCGTCACAAGTACCTATGCAACGGCGCACGAAGCGTGCGTGTCTCGTTTGTGCGCTTTTACGCTTGTACGCTCGTACGCTATCGCTACACAGTCAGACAGTCAAGCATAAAGACCAGCTGCGTGACGCATTGTCGAATGAAGGATGCACTCGGTTCCATTTCGCTTGCGTCTCGTTTTGTTCTCCTCGTTAAAATAACGGTCATCCTAGATTCTTTCGTAGAATGATTGTTCGAAATGACGTTACATCGAGACATGCCATGTCCAAGCTGTTAAGCTCGTAGAGGAATCAACTCTTTGATTTATTGTGAATTTTAGATTAAATGATTGATTGTTGTATGTAGGATTAGCTGATATCAATTATCTGTTACGATTTAGATGTACTAATCGATCGATTGTCTTTTGATTGCAGAGATTGCAAAGGTGCGGGCGAGCCTCTTTCAAATCAGCGGAGTGAAAAAGGAGCCGCTCGTCCTGCCGGAGCCCGAAGGTGACATCACGACGCTTACGGAGAAGGTCTACGTGCCCGTCAAGGAACATCCAGACGTGAGTACTATGAGAAACTACTGCAAACGTTTATTGCACTGCATAACACTGTGTAATAAGAGTTTACGTGTCTAATAAACGCGTGGCTCTCCCTTTCCCTTTTGTTGGATTAATTTGACTAGTGTGACTCAAGAATTCAGAATGTGAAAATCGAGTTAATGAAATTTTTTTTGTAGAATCGAGAAGTTTTATACATTTCAATACAGAGCGCTCCGATTTTACAAAATACTAATCAGCCAATAGATTTGACAATTGTCTTGCATTTATTGCAAATTAATCTTAGGAGAGGAATTTGCGTATTTTTTCTACGTTTTTATCGTTAAGACAATTTTTATTCTATATCTTGTGTGCGTTTTATTCTCTCCTGCAAGAAGCGAAGTATCGTTTGCCGATCTCGGGAAGAAATCGAGAGATGCGCGGTGTGCACCATCGAACGCTGAATGTTATTTCTGTAACGCCCGAAATAGAGTTTGCGCCAAAGAAACGATCCCGCTTTCCTTCTCGATTCTGTTTCTCCATTTCGCTCACACGCGCCTCTCCCAGCATCGTTCATTAAAACGACAATGAATAATGAGATTACAAACTTGTTAACTTTTTGGGCTTTAGACTTCTTCACTCTTTTTGTAATGTTTATATCAGCGTACAATTTATTTAAAGTGTAATTTATACGTGCAACGAACGCCATGAATCAAATTCGTGATTTTTCTACGTAAATCTGTCTAATAATTGATTGGAAAATCGATTTTAGATTATTTTAGTCAAAAGTAGACAGGAAAGAATTACATCGCGCGTGAGAATAATCCAAGATGATAATTACAGCTTGTTATAGATGCTTCTTGCGAGTTTTCGTTAGTTATCGCGTCATGTGCACAGATTGGTCTGACTCGAAATATTTTGTACGCCCATGAATTTGGTAATCTTTCGATTATTGTGCGTTGATCTTACGGGATTGGTAGTTTTCGATATGCCTTGTCTGCGTTATCAATGTGTCATTCTTATCGTTGAGGAGGACGCTTCTGCAAATCGTTTCCTCGAATCTCTCCACGATAGTAGTACGGTGACTATCTTATCGACCCAAGTTACATACATTTGCATAAACGTCAAATTTGTAATTGTTTTTCAAAATAATTCAGGTATATTTGTAAAATGCTATATTTTATAATTTCTATTTACTACCTATAGTTCTTTCCGTCTTTTGTTTCAAAATTCTGCATTTAATCCCTGTTTAATGCGCGTACATGCCACAATTATTTCTATCTACACATTTATATTGTAAAACTCATCTCTGGAAAAGTATTTTTGGGGGAAAAATGGCCCAGTAGCCGGCTAAAGAACCGGATGATTCACCCCCCGTCTAAATTTATACCCGCCTTTATTTACCGGGACCCAACAATGAAACTGGATATCTTGTGAAGAACAAAATTTTTTTTTCACACATTCGTACAAACTAAATTTAGCAAACGCGGTGTTTTATTGTTTTACGCGTTAAATTAGATGATATATATATATATAAT